GAGATATTCCTTTAAATCAAGGATGTTTGGCTCCTGTTAAGGTTTATTTTCATTCTTGACTTATCCGCAAAATCCTTCTTTAAAAATCATTTTCAGATTCGAGTTCCTTATGGCACTATTCTAAATCCAAGCGATGAAGCCGCAGTTGTCGGAGGCAACGTTCTCACCTCTCAACGTCTCTGTGATGTTATTCTACATGCTTTTGATGCTGTTGCAGCTTCTCAAGGCTGCATGAATAATTTAACTTTTGGTGATGATTCTTATGGTTATTATGAAACAATTGGTGGGGGTGCTGGGGCCGGTAATGGGTTCCATGGAAGATCTGGTGTTCATTCACATATGACGAATACGAGGATAACTGATGTTGAGGTTTTAGAACGGCATTATCCTGTTTGTTTTTTAATTTTATAAAAGACACTTATCAAGCGCTTAAGGCTGTTATTGCTCGTAAATTCCTTCTCCGTAAAGGTTCAGGAGGCGCAGGCCGATGGCATGGCGGAGATGGAATTTGTCGTTATCTCCAATTTTGCAAAAATGTACGTCTTTCTTTGCTAACTGAACGTCGAGTTTTTGCTCCCTACGGATTAAATGGAGGAAGACCAGGCAAAATTGGAAGAAATATTCTTTTGCGTGCATCAGATGGAGTCCGTGACAATTTGGGTGCAAAAATTAGTTTAAATGTTAATCCTGGGGTAAAAAAATTTTTTAATCTATTGTGATTTTTTTCTCTTTTTTAGGATATTTTAGAATTGGAAACTCCCGGTGGAGGGGGATATGGACGACGTCGTTTTTGGATGGAACTGCCTTCAAATAATCTTCATTATTTTGGTAGTAGTTAAAATTTTTGGGTTTTTAGTTGGGTATGTTTTCAATTTCCCGACATGTTCTTTGGCGTATTTTTCAAAAATGAGTGCAATTTTTGTGTTAGATATTCGTTTGTGTGCCCATCCATATGTTTCCGGCCTTTGATAAACTGAGTGATTTTTCTGAAATTAATTTCAGAATATTTAAAGGAGAATAAATCACTTCTTTAATTTTTCAGCCAAGTAATTCTGAACAAAATAAATTTTTAATTTAATTATTAGGTTTTCGTCGACGTCTTTCAAAAGAGACATCTCCTGTTGTTATAAAATCCATTCAATCAAAATTATCACAAATTGAACAATTAATTCAAAATCCCCAAGAAATAACAAAATGTAAAGAATTACTAGAAGAAATTCATAAAGGAATAATTAACGAAGCTCCTTCTAATTCTGTACTTCTAGAACTTTTATTTAACATTGAAATGACAATTAATCATTTTTCTGTAGCAGAAGGAATTTTATGTCGTTTAGTATTCTTGAAGCCTTCATTGGCACATAAAAGGTACAAAATATTTTTTTAATTTTATGTTTTTGGGGTCTTTGGAGCAAACTTCCCCGTTGTTTGAGCAACTTTCCCCGTTGTTGGAACCCTTCCCCGTTGTTTGAGCAACTTTCCCCGTTGTTGGAACCCTTCCCCGTTGTTTGAGCAACTTTCCCCGTTGTTGGAACCCTTCCCCGTTGTTTGAGCAACTTTCCCCGTTATTGGAACAACACTTTGGTATTCTAAACATTTTTGGGTGTTTGGTATTTCAAGTTTTTTCCACGGTTTGATATTTCAACAGCCTTTGGGGGTTTGGTATTTCAAGCTTTTGGTATTATAACAGGCTCCGATTTCATGTTATAGTATTTCCATTTTTAATTTGAAAAAAAATTTTAGTATGGCAAAATTATTAATTGACAAAGTAGATGAAGAAGATGATGCAATTCTTGATAGAATTGACCAACTTTTGGAAGAGGGAAATTTAAAATCAGAAAATTCTCTTCCTTTTGTTGACACTTTCGGAAATAAAAATTTAGAAGAATTAATTTCTGAATTTAAAGAAATAGAAGATATTAAAAAATTAAATTTTGAGGTAAAAATAATTTTTATTAATTTTAATTTTTTTTATTTTTAACAGAAAATTATTCAAATAAATAATTTATTGTTGAACAAAAAAGAAGAAAAAGAGAATAATTTACGTTGTTCAAATAAAATAGAAAATTTTGATAAAAATGAAGTTTTTACTCTAATAGATTTTAATTTAATTAAAGAAGAAATGAATAAATTCTGTTTATTTTTGAATGAAGGAACTATTTTGGTAAAAGAAAGGCAAATGCATCCTTTAGAGTTTACAGTTTTAGTGTTCTTCTTTTTGGTGAGAAAATAAAGTTTTGAGAAGGTTGATCTAACAAATAAGATTAACTTTTAATTAGATAAAATCAACTTAACCAAAAATACTTATAATTTTTTTTACATTTGAAGTAGGGTTGTGCACGATCGGTTTTAAAACCGAAATTTTTGATATTTTTGCTAAAAATTAACCGTTTTTAAAAAATTTAAGAAACCGAAAACTTCTAAAAATTAATGATATTATTAAAAATTACCTCAAAATAAACTCGGTAAATGTCCAAACTCAAAACTAAAACCAGGGTTTTAAAATTTGGATTAATCGAAAACCGGGGATATTGGTTAATAATCGGTAGTGAACAACCCTAATTTGAAGTTTTGATCGGTTAAAAACTTAAATTTGGAATTTTTTCTGTTAGATCGTTCTATTCCAACACCTTTTCGTTAGTTCAGGAAAAATCAAAATTATCTACTAAAGCTTATTGGCCCCAGATTTAAAAGTATATCGGAGCTTTTCCCAAATTCATATTCGTTTTAATTCTTCCTTTTTAGCAATATATACAACCATTTAAAGAAGGCACAAATCAAACTGCTTGTCTACTTGGAAATACTTTATTAAATTTATATTCACTTCCTTCCTTATTTTCTCCTAATGAAACTAACAATTTGGTTTGTGAAGCAATTCTATGCGCGATTTCTGGCGATTTACGTCCTCTCTTTCGTTTCTTTTCAAATAAAATGGAAGGTATTCTTTTAGAATTGCGAGTGGCTTATGATTTTTAATTATTTTAAAATTTTTATTTTAAATTTTGTCCAGCTCTGATAATAGAATACTATTTTTATTTATTTGTATAGGAACTGGATAAAAATGGGCAATGTTGAGTATTTTTGAATAGATCAAAACTAAAAATTTTGTGTTTTAATAAGATTGCCTTATTTTTATCCAACTCCCCTAATAAAAAACTCAAACAATTGAATTTCTATTTTACATAAACATTTTTGATCGAAAATAACTAATTCTTTTACACAAAATCAGAATAGAAATTCAATTAGAAATGCACTAATTAAGTAATTTGTAAGAAAATTTCCTTGCCTTATTTTTACAATTTGCCATTAAATAATTTCTGTGATGACATTTATTTAGATATTGCCTTATTGTTAGAGTAAATTATACCTTTTTTTTAATCAAAATAAAATTTTTACCAATTTAAATAAACAATTAAAAACTTCCAACAAACAAAATTAAATATCCTCAATATCCTGTTCCTCCTCCTCATCAGATTCTTCAAAATCTTCAACAAATTGGCGTTGATCTTCTTGCTCCATTTCATATTCAACTTCTTCCTCGTCCTCCTCTTCATCTTCTCTCATTCTATCAACAGTTTTGTCAATTGCCTTTTGACTAAATTTATACATTTCCCCATAATTTCCTTTCTTTAATCTTTCAAGTAATTCCCTTTCTATAGCATTGTCAAGTTTTGCAGCAATTAAAGCCTTTTCTTCTCTTCGCTTCTCTCTCCGTTCAATTTTTCTCTAAAGATTAAGTAAAAATTAAAAAATATTCTTGATCAATGTCAAAAAATTCCCACATAATATGATACCTCGTAATCGATGACTTAACATTAAGGAGGGATGATAATTTTCAGACATTTTAACAACCTCGAGTGATTCAGGCAACTGAGGCAAATTTTCAAAAAAATTTCTGAAAATTCCTGTAGGCTTTTGGCCCAATTCAGACAACTCAAGAGTTAGAATTTTCGTTTGTTCTTATCTAATTTTTCCATTCTGTCGGATAGTTGGAGATATTCGGATCCGAACCGAAAATTTCTGGAAATCAAGTCTTTTTTCGGATCCGGACCCGACAACCTTATTCCCCAGGTATACTTATTAGTCTGATTATATACTAACAATAAGTCATTATTTTGAAACTTAAAAAGATATATTTTAACCTGAATGGGAATAATCTTTGGCTGCCTTCCTCTTAATTTCATTTTCCTCATCCTTGCCAAATATTGATGAATTCTGATAACCCTAGCTTTACATTTTTGTCTAATATAATCACTCCAATGTAATAAATTAACATTAATTTGTTCAACAGCTTTGACCATATTTCTATTTAATTTGACTTTTTCCCATAAACGAGCAGGGAAATGACTTCGTTCAATTACCTTCATATATAAATAGCAAATACCTAAAAAATATTTTTGAAAATTCTTAAAATAGTAAACCGCTATATTATTAGCTTATCAATCGAGTATCTAATTTAAAAAAGCCCCAAACCCGTACTAAATAACTAAAAGCTTTCCGAAGTAAAGGTAAAAACCAATTCTTTCTCATTTGGTTTTCAATGTGGACAAGATAAAAATCACATCTTTTTTGTGAATGAGACAATATACCTAAACAAGCCTTACGACAAACCCTAACACCATTTTTAAAAACCAAAAATAAATTAAAACCTTTCTCTTCCCTAACAGTAGCATATTGACTATTAGCCAAAGGACATGAAGCTTTATTACAAATTCCAGTAAGGTTGTACTCGTTCCGACAAAACTTTTTTGATTTTGTACTGAAATGAAATAAGTATATTTAAATTAATTTAATAAAACTTACACAATCTTAAAAGAACAATGTCCATTATTTAATTGATTCCAAACAATATCATCTGCCTGCATTTTTCCTTTTAAAATTATAAAAACCTGAATGTTCAAAAAATTTGTTTAAAATAATTATTTGCTAATTTAAACAAAAGAGTAAAATAAAGGATAAAATAAAATTTATTAAAAAAAAAACAAGGAAAAATATTCATCTAATCAACGCTTCCATTGTGTAGTATATTTTTGATGACTAAAAGTATCTTCGCCAAGATCCTAAAGAAAAATATTTTCGTTTTCTCTACTAAAAATAAAAACCTCAAATTCACGTTTGACCATCGGCCTTCGTTCAGCAATACGAATTCGTCTTTCATATTCATCAGCGGTTCGTAGATCAATTGGGAGTTGAATAAGAACTCGGGGTTCTGCAGTCCGGGCAAAAATAACACTCCCATCAGGTCTCATTAATCTAAAAATGAATTTTAATTGAAATTTCATGGATAGGGACACTCTGGCTACGTCACTGTAATGTCTAATCATTCAGGTTTCTTAAATGAGCGGATTTTTCCTAATTTTGTGATTTTTGATAGGCGACGAGAATTATTTTTAAAACTGCGGATTTGCGGAAAAATGTGCATCTTCCCATAAAAATTACGGATTTATATGTAAAAATTTGAGATAAGGACACTGATCTAATCCGGCTCTATCGGAAAATAATGCCGGCATCCAATTTTTCCTTTCCTTCTCGAATGGGGGGAGAAAAAGTTAATTTTTCAGCTGTAGTTTAGTAAACCGGTGGTAAGGTAACTTTGTCCAAACTTATTCAATCACGGTGATTTTGGTGTCTTTTAACTCTGTGGACCGAGATATAGGCTCCCGAAACGAAATCTGATTTGATTGGACCGAGATAAAGAACTCTGAAAATTGAAGAACTACAGGGGCGAATTTTGGATTAAAAATTCGAATATACATTCGAAAGAGCTAGTCGAACTGAGTCGAATGACACCAAAATCAACGCGATTTAACAAGTTTATACAAAGTTACCTTGCCACCGGTATACTATACTACAGCTGAAAAGTTAACTTTTTCTCCCCCATTCGAGGAGGAAAGGAAAAATTGGATGCCGGCATTATTTTCCGATAGAGCCTCTAATCCCATATAAAATATTCCCGTGCAAAATTTTTAACTTACTCACTTCACTTTGTAAAGTTTTATCGCCTCGGGCCTTCCAATTTTTCCAAGACATGCTCTCCAAGGTCCCATCTATATAATTCAAACAAATTAAAATTACTTTGAATAAAAACAAAAATAAATGAGCAAAACATTAAAGAAAAAAACAACAAAAAGCTTTAAATTTATTCAGTTTATTAAAAACAAATTACCGGCATTAAAGACATTAAACCAATTTTTCATTTTCGTTAACTAACAATTAAAATAGAACACAACTATAATAAACAATATGTATTTGAGTACAAAAATAATCTTATTGGATTTAGATGGCGAAAAAAAGATGACGATCAATATATATTAGAGCTACAATTTAATTTAAAAAAAATTCAAAATTGTATGAAATTAATCGAAAATCAAATCAAAAAATCGAATTTTTAATTTTTAAAAAACCTCTCATACAACAATAAATTTTTCTATTATATTTAGATAGGAAAAAACACAATCCTTACTTGAATACATGTCGTCACAAGCCCGTAGTAGAATTATGGGTAATATGTTTGGATAATTATTGTGTTTTTTGCGGACAAAAATTACAGAAAAATTTTAGTTATATTTCTGAGTTCCCTGAATGAATACTAATCGGTCGGTCCCTTAGACAAAAAACGGGCAAAAACGACTCAAAATCCTTGCTAGAAAGGGCACATTCTCTATCGAATGAGCCCGGTCTCGACCGTTTTTAGGTCGGACACCTCGCAAACTCTCCTTGTTAATATTCAAAGGAATTTTTTTCAAGAATTAGATTTTTCAGAATTTATCTTTTGTTTAGGTTTCTGTGAACTCGCAGAATTCCGCAAAAAAACAAATATTTAATAATTACCCATTTATATACTAAATTACGTACTCAATATAATTTCTCAACATATTCTTCTAGATTTTAATAGGATCCATCTCAATCAGAAAGATCAGCCTCCGTCATACCAGACTTTTGAAGCAACTGAAAAAATCCAAAATGATAAAGAAATTTGGACTAAAATAAAATACTTTTTGAGTTATTTTCTCCAATCTATTAATTGTTTTCTCCTGGATTTCCAATTTTTTGCAGAGAACAGCATTCTCCGTACGCAAACGTTTCAGCTCATCAGTCGCAGAACTAGGAGGCTCCATAATCGAAACAGAAGAATTGCTTCCAGTGTTAAGAGCCTTTTCAATAGTCTTTTGGGCCTGATGGATGACTTGTTGGAGTTTACTTGTGGCATTTCCAGAATTGGCAGAAAAGTTTTCTTTTTGCTTTTTAGCAATTTGGATGTCAGCCTTTTCCTTTTTAACATTCTGAACATCAATTTTTTCTTTCTTAACATTCCCATTTTCTATTTTGTCCATTGCAGTTTTGACTTTTACCTTCTCTTTCTTGCCGCTTTCCTTTGCTAAAAACAAGAAACGACAATTGTCAGATAAAAACTAAAAAATCCTATTATTATTTAGAATCATCAAATAACTCAAAACTTAAAAAATATAGGTACTTTCCTGTTATCTGCCCACATTTTTATTTTCTTTTTTTCCTTTCTTATTTTTTCTTAATCTGTACATAATGGTCAACCTTTCTTCCTTCTTCAATTTCACTCCGTTCTCCTGTGGCATATTCAAATGCGAGTCAGAGACGAATCCCGTAAAAACTTCAACACAAGAATGACACGTGGGGAAATATAAAAACCAAAATTTTACAACCATAGTAATAGTAATTTAATACAGGACCGTAAGTCTAACACAATGTGCTGTGTCTAATCATCATAGAGTAAGGTTCATGACACGACAATTTGGTTCAAAAAAAGTTATTTTTGGTTTTTGTTAGTATTTTCTGACTCGCATTTGAATATGCCACAGGGGAACGGAGTGAACTTGAAGAAGGAAGAAAGGTTGACCATTATGTACAGATTAAGAAAAAATAGAGAGGGGAAAAAGAAAATAAAAATGTGGGCAGATAACAGGAAAGTACCAAAATATACCTTGAACATTTCCAACAGATTTTTTGTCTGGTTTCGTCAAGTTATCCTTGTGCTCATTGTCAGCTTGAACGATTCCTTCAATTTTTCCTTCCTTTTTAGAAGTAAAAATAGGTTTAAGATCCACATAATGAACTCTGTCTTTGTAAAAAAGTTGGTCAGCCGCTTTAATTGCCTTAAATTGATTGTCAAAACATATTAAAAACAAAATTCAAACCTGGAAAATTTCCATATTTGGACGAACTTCGCTAAGTAGGGCTTGTACAGACATAATTGAGATATAATTCAAATAGTTTAGACCTTAAAAATATGTATGAGGAATAAAAATCTTGAAAGTAAGTTTAATTTAAGCAAAGATAAACGCAAAGAGCTATTGTAAATTTTATATGTCCAATTACTAATGGAGATAAAATTTAATTATACAAATGTTGATTAAACTGGACTACAGAAAAAGTAAAAATATTGTTTCGAAACCGGGCCGTTGGATTTTTCGAAATAAATAAATTTGGGTCAGAGTTGCAAAATTTAAATTGTGCTAATTTTAAGTAATTTTGGCATTATGTATTTGTATGCGTTATCTTACTATTTAAGCCCGAGTAAAGCTCATTTTTCTCATTTTTAGATAACTTTTAGGTTTTATTGTTTTTCTTTTTTTGATTTTTAATTATTAATTATTAGTGTTTCTTCCGTTAATCTTTTAGATTTTTCCAAAAACAAAAGTTTTATTTACTTTTCTCTTTGCGATTTATTTTAACAATGTCTGATCGTTGTAAGTATTTTTAATTATATATTTCAAAGATTCTTTTATTTGAGCGTGCTACAACTGTGGTCAATCTGGTCACATCTCCCGTAACTGTCCGGATCGCTCTGGTGGTGGTGGAGGCGGCGGTGGTGGCCGTGGACGTGGTATTCTGTTGAAACCCTTTGAAATTTATAAAGTTCTATATTCAGAATGTCATGAATGTGGCCAGACTGGGCAGTTTGTTCGCGATTGTCCAGATCGTGTTGGTCGTTCTGGTGGCGGAGGTCGAGGAGGCGGCGGAGGTGAGGGTTTTATACTGTTGTATATTTGAAATTTGATATATGCTCTTTCTAGGTGGCAGCTGCTTCAGTTGCGGAAAGGCTGGTCATTTTGCTCGTGAATGTCCAGATGGCGGCGACGGTGGACGTGGCGGTGGAGGAAGTGGTGGCTCCAGTAAGAGTTTACCATAAACTTTAATTCATTTTTATTTTATAGAGTGTTATTCATGCGGAGAGACGGGACATTTCGCGCGTGACTGTACTACAGCTCGCTGAGAACATGGAAATGTATGGGGTTTGATGGACTGGCATTTGAATGATTGTTAAAAAATTTTACTTTTGATTTTATTTAATGTAAACAAAACGCTTATTGTCCAGTACCCATTACGCAAATTTTGTTGAAAAGCATAAAATCTTTACTTATTTGTTTAATTTTCTTTCTTACATTTTGATTGTTTTGATACCTTAATATTTTTGTTGTTCACAATTATCTAGGTTTGCGCTCTAGATTGGTTTAATTTTTGTTTATTGCTTTCTTTTAAAATTTGTCTGAAATGGACTTGGCTTCATATGTGGCCAGTCTTAAAGTTTCTTCGGTAAGAGTACATAAAAGCTAGATAAAATTCCTTTAATTCAGAATATTCCTCCGCCGGCGTCACAGTTTTTGAGCACTCAAAATGGTTATGCCAATATTTATGGGTAACACGCTTATCTAAATTACTGATACTAGCTAAATTTCAGGTTTATCGTCAAGCCGGATGCTGTAGTTTACCGTTATGACGTTGAACTTTCTGATAAGGTCAAGGATAAAAGTTTAACAAAAGGCGGTGGAGATGATGGGAAAAGGGGACTTTTGAGGGACATCTGTTTCGAACTTGTCAAAGATGTGTTCGATAGTACTCAAAACCTGAACTGCGATGGAACGGTATATAAATATAATAAGTGATACAACTTTAATTCTTTAGGTTTTGTTTGTGTATGACAATCGCAAGATTTTGTTTACAAATCTTCGAGTTCCTGCTTTGGTTAGTTTTCATAATTAAGGTTTAACTAGGGTTATTTTAACCATTCTAATTAGGTCCCCGTCCCCAAGTCAGAGAATCTGACTTGGAAATTCGACTTGGACCTTGAATTCGGCCTGGACCTGGGACGGCGAATGGCCTCAGGAATGTTTAGAATTTCCAAAAGGTCAAATTCCCTGACTTGGAGACGGGGAACAATCCTAATTCTAAATATTTGGATGGAATTTCTATTTTTTAGACTTGTGAGATTAAGCCTGAACGTATGACGCCATTTTGCCGGAAATTTCTTCGTAATGCAACAATCACGTTTGAGTTGCAGCCGTGCAAAGGGTCAAGTCATGAATTGAATTTAAACGACATTCAATCAGCGCTTTGTCCTGCACCCCATATGCAAGCGGATCATTCTCTTCGTACATTTTTTGAGATGCTGACGTCTCAGTCTTTCATTAATGCGTAAATCAAACTTAACTACTCAAAATAATAGCTTAATTTTATTTCAGTCGTACACATCGTTTGGTTGGAAATGGCCGACTTTTTGAAGAAAAGGAAGTCAAACGATTGAATGATGCTATTGTTGCTCATCGTGGAGTAGCAAAGGGTGTTCGTATCATTGCTAATGGTGGAGATAAACCAGTTCCTGCTATTGTTGCTGAGGGTATGTTATTTCTTAATTATTTATATTAATTAAAATTTTTAGTCAAAACTTGTGCATTCTTTGCGAAAGGGAATTTGGGTGATATTGCAAGGGGAATGGTTCAATCTGCCATGAATCGACGTAGAAATCCTCTCCGTTCAAACGACCGTAAAATGATGGAAGGCTTTTGGTTAGATTTTGGCCACCTCTTCAAAGGAGTTAGTGCTTACTTGACTTATGCGCCTTCACGAGTCATTGTTATTGACTCTATCACTACTCGGCTTGTTTCGGAAATTAGGTTTTTAAATTTGTTTTGAATAACTGCTTAAATCTTTTTATAGTTTTGAAGTTGATGGTCGCAACATTCCAATGATTCAATATTTTGCTGAAAAGAAAAATGTTCGAATTGAAGGAAACATGCCTGCCGTGCGTCAACATGTCGATCGTGATGTGAGAAAATAAAATTTTTTGTCTTTATTTTTTTTAAATAGGCTATTTATCCGCTTCAATGCCTCGAAATCTTGCCTTTCCAGCGTGTATCCTTGGATAAGATGCAGTTGACCGATGAAATGGCTCAAATTTCGAGTGATCTTCTTAAGGTTTTTTATTGTTTTGCTTCGTATACTTTTGAATTTTGTAGGCTAATGCTGTTGGACCTGAAGTTCGTAGTGAAATGATTAAGGAGCAAATGAGACAAATTGGAAGAGATGGTGATTGTGCCAAATTTATGTATCGTTTTGGTGTCAAACTTCGTGGAGATCAAAACAACGTTCAAATTGGTCTGCGTAAACTGCCGATTATTCAGTTTGGGAATAATCTTACAGCAAATCCAAATGATAACGAAAGGGTTTGAGTTTAATTTTTCTCGTCACTTTATTTTATTACTACTCGAAGCATGGCCAATATACCTATAGATATACAGATTGTAAACATTTTAATATTTTATTAAAGGGTGGTTTTGATGTTCGTGGTCCTCTTCGATATTTGGAGCCTTCTGATGTCCTTCGTTCTTGGATTGTTGCTTTTCCGCGAAAAATTACTCAAGACAGTTTGAAGTACGGTCTTTTTTCATGACGATTAAAGAAATTTTATTTAAGCAAGTTTATCAGCGATATTCAACGAATGGCAAATCAGCGTGGAATGAAGTTGCCTCAACCTGTTTTTGAGAATCTTGAAGTCAATGCTATGGAACAACGCTTTGCTGAATTTTCTAAGGCAAAAATTCAATTTGTTCTTTACATTGATGAACGTTTTGTCAAATCCCATGGTAATTATTAAAAATTTATTTGCTTATGTTAGCTTTTTCTTTATTAAGCAAAGCTCAAGTTTTGTGAACGTCGTTATACTGTACTTACTCAACATGTTAATATTGAGATGGTTAGCAGGGCTGGGCCAGCTTCTGTCAGCAATGTTCTTGCCAAAATGAATATGAAGTGAGATACCTAAAGTGTTATTAATAAATGGTCATTTTTTAGGCTTTTTGGATTGAACTATATGCCTATTTTTGATCCTGTGACGTAGGATTTTTTAAATTTTGTCTATAATATTTTTGATTTCAAGTAAAAATAAGCTTGACCTTTCTTCTGGTCAAGTCCTGGTTCTTGGTATTGATACTTCTCGTCCACCGAAGGCTACTGCATTTGAGAAGTTTAAATTAAGCAAGCAAGGAATGGAAGGATTTACTTCGGAGGATCCTTTGACTATTGGGGTTTGTATTACTATTAAAAGTTATTTAATTTGTTATTTTTAGTATTGTGGCAATTATTTGCCAAATCCTGCTAAATTTGTTGGTGACTACATTTATCAGCCCTGCAAACAGGACGTTCTGGATGTCGATTATTTTGGAAAAAGAATTAAGTCTATTGTTGGCTATCTCAAGACGAACCGGAAGCAACTTCCATCTACTATTTTTATTATTCGCGATGGTATTAGTGAAGGGATGGTTCCTAATGTATGTTGCAATTTATTTATTTTTTATTCAATTTTTATCAGGCTGTCAATGGAGAATTCGCGCGAATTATTGAGACATTTAAGAGCGTCGAGCAAGGATGGTCGCCAAAATTTGTTTTCGTTATTGTTGATAAGCGCCATACAAAACGCTTTTTCTTCAACAATGGCCCTATTCGTAATTGTAAACCTGGCTCGGTCATCGATAAGAAGTGTGTCCGTGTCGACCTTCATGAGTTCTTTTTGCAAGCGCATCATCCGCTGAAGGTTTTAACCATATTTTAATATTTTTAATAATAAAAAAGTATTTTTAGGGTACTGCAAAGATTCCACAATACATGATCCCAATCAATGAGATCAAGGCTAACAATGACGAATTACAGGCATTCATTCTTGGTCTTTGCAACATGTGGCAGATTGTTAATATGCCGCCTGCTCTTCCGTCACCTGTTTTACAGGCAAAAGAGCTTGCGAAGCGTGGAAGTAATAATTATATGGAGATGAAGCGGTTAGTACAAATTAAAATTCCTTTCTAATGGTCTCACAATCACTTCTAATTTTCAGAAATGCTCCTCAATACATTCCTCGTGTTGCTGGAGAACGTATTATTGACTTTGCTATGCTTAATGAGCGTGTTCCTTATGGAACTACTGGTTTGGCTAAGACTCGTTTTAATGCTTAATTTGGATATTGGAGACTTGAAGTTTATTATAGAGAGTTATTTTATGTTGATATGGTATGGTTAAAATTCTTTATATTATATTATAAAATGACATTTACAGGGTGTTTCACCAGAAAAGCCCTTTTTGAAAAATTAATAACTTTTTTCAATATTGACATATTTTAAGGATATTTTGTATTTTATATCTATAATTTATAAGGTTTTTTTTGACATAAAAATTATGTCTAAATTCGAACCCTAATCCGAGATAGTTTCGTACTCTACCGCTCTGTTTTTCCCTTTTTCCCCACATGCGTTCTTACTCCCTTTTGTTTGCTACGAGCGGCGAAAGACAATAGAGTAAACACTAGGCGATAGACACTACATTTTCAATACAGTATCTACTCTTCGCCATACACAGGAAAATAAATGAAGTAAGATAGCACACAAAGAAAATAGAAAGAAAAGAGAACGGTAGAGTACGAAATTGAAATAATGGGTTAGGGTTCGAATTTCGACATAATTTTTATGCCAAAAAAAACCTTATAAATTATAGGTATAAAATACCAAATATCGTAAAAATCTATCCACGCAGTAAAAAGATATTAATTTTTCAAAAAGGGCTTTTCTGTTGAAACACCCTGTACTTTTGATTTTAAAAGATTTTCCTCGTTCATTATTTAACCGGGTGTTAATCCTTTTTTTAGGCCTGATAGTGAATCTATAAAATTTCTTTATAAATTTAAAAAACTAGGTATATTTTTGATTTTACTACGGAACAACACCCTACAATACTGCAAAATATTTTTGTTTTTCTTTATTTTTTGTTTATTGAGGATAAATTATCTGGACATCAAATTTTCTTGAATAGTTTTTCTTATCTCTAAAGATAATATATACTTTTAAATTCCTAAATAATTTGGTCATCCGAAAGGTTTGACTTCTCAACCTAAGGGTAAACAGGGTACAAGTTGATTGAAATTAGTTTTCGTTAAATCGTATTTAAAAAATCAAAAAAATTTCCCTAACGCAAATTGCTTCATTTTTTGCCATTTTCCTTTTTTTATCTTTAAGCTTTTTTGTTTTTTCCAAACATATTTTTCCTTCCATTAGACAGAACGCCCATTCTTTGGTCGATATTTGATGTTGCATTCACATTACCCAAGCAGGGTCTTTACTATTATTTTTAGTCGATGACCTTCTCCATTCGCTTACATAGGTTAAGAACATTTATATTTCCATTTCTGAATGTTTTGTAAAAATAGATTGCAAAACGGAATTTGTAAATTTTATTTAAAAAAAGGAATAGATTAAAGACTGGCTAAGATTTAATCAGATGTGTTTTTTAAGTATTACTTACAATTAGATAACTTTAAAATTAAAACTTGTGGAAAATCAAAGGAATTTGTTTTTCTTTTGTTCTCCCTGCTTTTCACGCATAAAAAGTTTGTTTTTGCGTTAATACGTTCTCAGATTAATTTTAATCTGTGGAAATGAGCGGTGACATTAATAGCTCCTCCCTCCCTTAGTATGTAAATAGGTTTGGGATATTCACGCAACAACCAGTTGCGATTTATTTAAAAGTAAATTTATGTAACAAATTATTTAAATTTAATTTTATGTTTTTGGAACATTAATTTACTCTACATTTCCAATAAAGCTAACTGAAGGGCCATAAAAATTCTATATTTTTAACTTAATTTTCAGTGGTGGATTATTGATTTTTAAATTTTTCATTAAAATTTCTTATCGTCACCAAAATGCCAGCAGATTTGTCTCAAGTGGTCAATACCATTCGAGCTGCTGCGGTAAGCCAATAAATCCAAATCTCTAGAAAATTATTTTTCAGAATATTCCACCACAAGCAACTCAGTTTATTAAAAACAATGAAGGTTTGGCCAATATTTACACGTAAGAATTAAAAATAAAAGTATTGAAAATAATTTAAAATCAATTTAGGTTTGACGTTAAGCCTGGTGTTGTGATGGTTTATCGATACGATGTGGAGCTTTCTGATAAGGTTAAAAACAAAAGTCTAACGAAAGGTGGTGGAGATGATGGAAAGAAAGGACTTCTTCGGGATATCTGCTTCGAATTGGTAACACACGTTTTTGAGAATACCCAAGGTTTTGGCAGTAATGGAAAGGTAATTTTAATTTTAAAATTTGGTTGAAATTTTTTATGCAGGTTTTGTTTGTTTACGACAACCGAAAAATATTATTCACAAATTGCCGTGTTCCTGCTTTGGTTTTGTTTTATTTAAGACTTCAATTTTTATTTTTCTAAATTTTAGACGTGCGAGATCACGCCAGACCGAATGAGTGAATTTTGCAGGAAATTTTTGTACAATGCAACAATCACATTTGAGTTGCAGCCATGCAAAGGTTCAAGTCATGAATTGAATTTGAACGACATTCCATCGGCGCTTTGTCCTGCGCCTCACATACAAGCGGATCATTCTCTTCGTACATTTTTTGAGATGCTGACGTCTCAGTCTTTCATCAATGCGTAATCTTTTTAATTTATTTTTCTCATCGGAATTTACCATTGGTTTATTCGTCTGTTTATTTTCCTCTTATACTTTAATTATAAAAAATGTTTACTTGAAATCACGAATATTAAAAAGCTTTTTTAATTTTCAAATAATCGAGTTATCTTATTTTAGTCGTTCGCATCGACTAGTTGGACCTGGTCGACTTTTTGAAGAAAGAGTGGCTAAGCGATTAAACGATGCTATCACTGCACATAATGGAGTGGCAAAGGGTGTTCGTATCATTGTTAATGGTGATGTTAAGCCTTGTCCTGCGCTTGTTGCTGATGGTAAAATTTTCTTACTTTAGTTAGCTTTCATATTTTATTTTTAGTCAAAACTTGCGCATTCTTTGCGAAAGGGAATTTGGGGGATATTGCAAGAGGAATGGTTCAGTCTGCCATGAATCGTCGTAGAAACCCTCTCCGAACAAACGACCGTAAAGCGATGGAAAGCTTTTGGTTGGATTTTGGCCACCTCTTCAAAGGAGTTAGTGCTTACTTGACTTATGCGCCTTCACGAGTCATTGTTATTGATTCTATCACTGCTCGGCTTGTCTCTGAAATTAGGTTTTTAAATTTGTTTTGAATAATCGCTTAAATCTCTTTATAGTTTTGAAGTTGATGGCCGCAACATTCCAATGATGCAATATTTTGCTGAAAAGAAAAATGTTCGAATTGAAGGAAACATGCCTGCCGTGCGTCAACATGTTGATCGTGATGTGAGATATTTATAAGTTGTAAATGTTACTTAACATTTGAACTTTAGGCACTTTATCCTCTCCAATGTCTTGAGATCTTGCCTTTCCAGCGCGTATCTATAGATAAGATGCAACTGACTGATGAAATGGCTCAAATTTCGAGCGATCTTCTTAAGGTATTTCAGGCTTTTCCTTCGTATATTTTTGGATTTTCTAGGCAAATGCTGTTGGACCTGATGTTCGTAGTGAAATGATCAAAGATGTAATGCGACAAATTGGAAGAGATGGTGATTGTGCCAAATTTATGTTTCATTTTGGTGTCAAACTTCGAGGTGATCAAAACAACGTTCAAATTGGTCAGCGAAGCTTACCGGTTATCCGGTTTGGGAATAATCAAACAGCTAATCCAAATGAAAACGATAAGGTTTGAGTCCAACTTCTATCTCCGATAAATAAAATTTTTAATATTTTTAGGGTAGTTTTGACATTCGTGGACCTCTTCGTTATTTGGAGCCTTCTGATGTTCTTCGTTCTTGGATTGTGGCTTTTCCTCGAAGAGTAACACAGGATTCATTCAAGTTTTTATTTTTTTATATTTTAGTTAAAATATTTTTTATTTTAGTAAATTTATTGGCGATATTCAACGAATGGCTAATCAGCGTGGAATGAAGTTGCCTCAACCTGTTTTTGAGAATCTTGAGGTCAATGCTATGGAACAACGTTTTGCTGAGTTTTCGAAGGCAAAAATTCAATTTGTTCTTTACATTGATGAGCGTTTTGTTAAATCTCATGGTAATCGTTAAAAATTAAATTTATTTGCTTATGTTAACTTTTTCTTAATTAAGCAAAACTGAAACTTTGTGAACGTCGTTATACTGTGCTTACGCAACATGTCAACATTGAGATGGTTAGCAAGGCCGGGCCAGCTTCCGTCAGCAATGTTCTTGCCAAAATGAATATGAAGTGAGTATTATCTAACTATCTTTTATAAAAAAACATTTTAGGCTTTTTGGTTTGAACTATATGCCTCTCTTTGATCCTGTGACGTAAGAATTTATGATAATATTTTTGTTATTCTTTCCAATTTTAAGCAAAAATAAGCTTGACATTGCTTCTGGTCAGATTCTTGTTCTTGGCATTGATACTTCTCGTCCACCCAGAGCTACTGCTTTTGAGAAATTCAAATTAAGCAAACAAGGAATGGAAGGATTTACTTCGGAAGATCCTTTGACTGTTGGGGTTTGTATAGTTTAAAATATTAAATTATTATTTTCAGTATTGCGGCAACTATTTGGCTAATCCTTCAAAATTTGTCGGCGATTACCTTTACCAGCCTTGTAAACAAGATGTTCTTGATGTTGATTATTTTGGAGAGCGTATCAAATGGATTGTTAGCACTTTGAAAGCTAACCGAAAACAACTTCCTTCAACTATTTTCATCATTCGCGATGGAATCAGTGAGGGAATGGTTCCTAAGGTTAGAAGCTTCAACTTTTGTTTTTTATTATTCAATTTTTTCAGGCTGTCAATGGAGAATTCTCGCGAATTATTGAGACGTTTAGAAGCATTAACCAAGGATGGGTTCCAAAATTTGTCTTCGTTATTGTTGATAAGCGCCATACAAAACGCTTTTTCTTAAACACTGGTCCAAATCGCAACCCTAAACCGGGTTCAGTCATTGATAAGAAGTTCGTCCGTGTGGATCTGCATGAATTCTTTTTGCAGGCTCATCATCCACTAAAGGTTTTAACTATATTTTTAAAATATTTGTTACAAAATCAATTTTAGGGCACGTCAAAGATTCCTCAATACATGATCCCAATCAATGAGATCAAGGCTAATAATGACGAATTGCAAGCGTTTATCATTGGACTGTGCAACATGTGGCAGATTGTTAATATGCCGCCTGCTCTTCCGTCACCTGTTTTACAAGCGAAGGAACTTGCAAAACGAGGAAGTAATAATTATGTGGAGATGAAACGGTTAATTTTCTCTAATATTTTTTTTAAATTCCCAATTTTTAGAACTGCTCCTCAATACATTCCTCGTATTACTGGTGAACGTATGATCGATTTTGCTTTGCTCAACACACGCGTTCCATATGGAGATAGTGTTTTAAGTAAAACTCGTTTCAATGCTTAATGGTTTGAAGTTTTTTGAAAGATATCTAATAATTTTTATTTTAACTGCCATTTAAACTTTCCTAATAATTCTCTTTTTATGTTGGATTATTTACCACTTTACCTAATTTTTTAATTCTCTAACTTGAAAAAAGATAGGTTATAACTTTTCTGGGGTTTTCAAAAATCTAAAAATATTTTTTTTAATTTTGAACGATTATGTAGTTTTAACATCACTTAATCTACTAACTAAGTATTTATTTTCTTTTTCAAATAATGTATATCATAAAATATTTAAAAAATTTTGTTTCCTAAAATCCATATATTTTTCTAAATTTTACTAATTTTTTATATTCTTCTTCAATAATCTTTTTAAATAATTTTTGTATTTTATTTCAATTTCCACCATAAGCGCCTTTCTTTAATTAAAAATTGTTACATTTCAGGGTTTTTAAATTATTATTATTTTTGTCTAATTTTTTAAATTAATTTTTAACTTTTGATAAACAAATTGATAAAGTTTTTGAATTTTTAAAATAAGGAAATGTTTTTAAAAAAATGTTTTTTTAGAAGGTTTTAAGCCTCAATAAGTTTATTTTTATATTCTTTTGCTTTTTGCGTATCACACATTTTAAAACGTGGATGACGATAAAAAATTCAAATAAAATTTCCTTTGTTGTCATTGCTTGTAAGCAATCGATTGTTATCAATTCATTGCTAACAATTGAGCTTAAACAATTTTTACTCCTAATTCCTTTAAAATTTCCCCTTAAAATTTCAAAAAAATTAAAAAAAATATTTTAGATTTCAATGAAACACAAAAGAAAACTTCGTTTAATTTTTCGTTATTTGCCCAGACGTTTATTATATACTTTTATTTATGCTGTATTTATTGTTTTTCTAATATATTTCTACAAAACAGTTACTGTTGAACGTGTGAAAATTAAAGAAAATTCTCAAAAATTTGCAGGTTTATTTTGAATTTTTAAATAAATATTTTATTTTTTTAGCTGATGGTGTTGATCCTTTTTTGTCTTATAGATCTCTTCCAAAGAAGGATTGGCTAGATAAAAGTTTTTATGAAAAGGAGCAGAAAAGGGAAGGAAATGGGGAGGTTGGCAAAGGATTTGTTGTTAAAAAAGAAAATAATCAGACTTTGGAAAAAATTTTGGTATTTTTTAATTTAATTTTTTTTATATTCAAATAGTATTTTTTCAATTTAAGATTTTTATTAGGGTTGTTGGCGACCGGTTTTAAAACCGGAATTTTTAAATTTTTTTTCAAAAATTAACCGGTTTTAGAAAATTTTAAATACCGGAAATCTGTGAAAATGAGTGATTTTATTTAAAATTCCCCCAAAAATAAACCGGTATTTGCCTAAAATTCAATACCGAAAACCGGGTTTCTAAAATTTAGATTAACTGAAAACTGGGAGTACCGGTTAATAACCGGTCGTCAACAACTTTAATTTTTAGTAATATTTTTATTTTCTCGATTCAAGGATACTCTATACCGTGCAAATGGATATAATGCCTATGTCAGTGACCATATTGCATTGGATAGAAGTGTTAAAGATATTAGACATCCTGGATGTAAAACAAAAATTTATATTGAAAGACTTCCTTCTGTTTCGGTTATTTTGCCTTTTCATGATGAAGTTAGTTAAATTTGTTTTTAATTCTACAAAAAATTTTTTTTTCAAGCATTATTCAACATTGTTGAGAAGTGGATATTCGATAATTAATAGATCACCTTCTGATGTTCTTAAAGAAATTATTTTTGTGGATGATTCTAGTACAAAACCAGAATTGAAAGAACCTTTTGAACAACATTGGAAAGCTAAAAGTTTGGATAATATTGTGAAAGTTGTTAGAACAAGGTAATTTCTTTACTTTTTTTATAGTTGGAGTTATCCCCCGTTAATAAAAAATTCCTTATACTTTTTGTTTAGATTGAAGATTTTTGGCTAGGAATATGAAACTAAAAAGTTATGGGGCTTCAAAGTTTGCGAAAATTAGTAACGCTTGAACTCCCCTATATACGAGAGAAATTAATTTCTGTTTCCGACATGGAAGTGCATTCTAAGACTTCCTCTTTCCCTGTTTACATTTCTGATAGGCTTAGGTGAAAATTTTGTGTAATTGGAATTAAATTCAATTTAGTAAATTGTAATCATACCTCTTCTACCTTCATTATTTAACATTTTTTACAATTCTTTTTTAGTAAAAGAGAAGGCTTAATTCGTGCCCGGGCTATAGGTGCTCGTGCTGCTAATGCTGAAATTATTATTTTTTTGGATGCCCATTCTGAAGCTAATTATAATTGGTTACCTCCATTAATTGAACCGATTGCTTTAAATTATAGAACTGTTGTTTGTCCTTTTGTGGATGTAATTGATTGTGATACTTATGAATATAGAGCACAGGATGAAGGAGCGAGAGGTTTTTTTTAAATAAATAAAATATAAAAATAATTAGGGGTTCTCTGATAAATTAAAGATTTGTGTTAGTCTCTCTCTCTTTGTTAGAGTTAAATTATTATTACACGCACTAGTGAAAAAATTAAAAGAAAAATATTGTCTTTGGTTAAGGAAAAATAAATTTAAAAAATAATCATGTAAATACGGAAAAATATGATCCCGGCACTCCTTTCACATAGAGCCATAATTTCTTATACTATTATATTTGAAACCTTGATTATCTTTTTGTTTCTTATTCTTTGTTTTAATTCAGGGTTACGATCGACAAAATGCCACTCAAAAGTATCAAAATCTCGATAAAAAAGTATATAGGGAGAAAATTTGCAAAAAAAAAGTAGTCTCAAAATTAAATTAGAAAATATTTATTCGTCCTCAAATCTTTTATATTTCTCTCCTAAATGAATCTTTTCTAATAATTTCCTGTTTCAACTGAGCATTTTGTCAATTTCAATGCACCTTTTTTGGCGCCGAAGGCGCCAAAAAATCTATTTTTTGCGCCGCAGGCGAAAATTTTGAGAATTTCGGAAGTCCTTAAGCCAGATTTCTTCAATTTCTTGCGCCGCAGGCGAAAATTTTTTGAAATTTAGAGCCCAAGAAGATAGATTTCTTCCATTTTCAGCGCCGCAGGCGAAAATTTTGAGAATTTCAAAGGCCGTAGGCCAAAAAAATTCACTTTTTTGCCCAATCCCTTCCCCAATTTCATTTTCAATCAAAAAAAAGTATATACTTTCAAAAAAGTATAAATTCAATTTCGTAAGCATGGAGGTCGATTTAAAAGTAGAATACTTTTAAAAAAGTAGGAATCGTAACCCTGTTTTAATTTATTTTTGAATAAATTAAAGATTTTTAAGAGAATCAGTAAAAATTCTCTAAAATGTAAATTCCATAATTTTTCTTTTTAACTTTTAGGTAGTCTTTTCGTAGTTTTTCCTAATTTTTATTAGGTTTCTTACATTAGTTTTTTTCAATATTTTATTATTCCCATATATTTTCAACTAACTAGATTATTGTTTTAATCCTTTTTCAATTCATTTTTTAAGGTTCATTCGATTGGGAATTTAATTATAAACGTCTACCATTAACTGAAGAAGATTTAAAATCGCCAACAAAACCATTTAAGAGTCCAGTAATGGCTGGTGGTTATTTTGCAATAAGTACAAAATGGTTTTGGGAATTGGGAGGTTATGATGAAGGTTTGGATATTTGGGGAGGAGAACAATATGAATTAAGTTTTAAAATTTGGCAATGTCATGGACAATTAGTAGATGCTCCCTGTTCTCGTGTTGGGCATATTTATAGATGCAAATATATTCCCTTTCCGTTAGTTTTTTGAAAATTTTAAAATTAAAAAATTCCCAATTTAAAGTAATCCAGGTGTTGGAGATTTTATTTCAAGAAATTATCGTCGTGTAGCAGAAGTTTGGATGGATGAATATAAAAAACATTTATATAAAAGAAGACCGGCATTGGAAACGGCAGATGAAGGTTTTTATGAATTCTGAATTAATGTTTTTAATTTGGAAATTAAAAAAAAATTTTCTGAAATTGAATTTAAAGGGTACACCTCAACTTCAACTTACCGCAGAGCTATAACTTCGTTCAGAATTGTCGAATCTGTGACGCCCTGGGATCGTTCGATGCGCCTCGACAAGCTGAATCGAAATACCAAGGCGTCCTGGATTCAACTATTCTGAACGAAGTTATGGCTTTACGGTATGTTGGCCTGCTCTCGAATTTAAATAAAAAAATATTTTTTAAATTAATAATTAATAAAAAAATTTAGGTGATTTAACTAAACAAAAAGCAGTTAGAGAAAGACTTAAATGTAAATCCTTTGATTGGTTTATGAAGGAAATTGCTTTTGATCAAGAATATTTTTACCCAGCTGTAGAACCCCCAGATGGAGCTAACGGTTTTTAAAAATATTTTTTAATAAATTAAATTAATTTTTAAAGGAGAATTAAAGAATTTAGCAGCCAAAAAATGTGTGGATACTGGATATGAAGGGACTGGTTCTAAATTGAAATTGGAAAAGTGTAAAAGTGAAGATAGTTCTGTTAGAGGAGAACAGGTTAAAAACAATTAAGATTTTTAAAATTCTATTATAATATAAAAATAAAAATTATAAGAAAAAAGTGAAAAAAATTAAAAGGAATTTTCCACAATATATTTTAGAGTTCGAAATTTGGAAAATGCCGGATCTCGTTTCGGATTTATGAATTTTTTTATCCGGGCCCGGACCGGATCGGGGTTTTTTGGCACGACCCGGACCGGATTTTGGGATCAAAATCCCGATTTTTATCAAAATATTCGGATCGTGACTACCGGATCCCGGAAATCCAGACCCGGATCCCGTCCCGATTCGAACTCTAATATATTTTCTCATTAAAAATATATTTTTTAGTTAAAATTCATTTTTTGTTTGATGATTTTTAAATAGAAATTTTTTACTATATTAACAAATATTTAAATTTAAGGATTTCCGTTTCTCTTTTTGGGAAGATATTCGACCTAAAGGAAGAAATTTGTGTTTTGACGTTGCCCAAAATCAACCAAAAGCCTCCATTACATTGTTTGCTTGTCACGGAATGAAAGGAAATCAGGTAAATAAATTTTTTTGAAAATTTTTAAAAATCCAGAAATTCTTTTTAGCATTTTAAATATCAACCAAAAAATAAACAATTAATTCATGTATTAACATCTTTATGTTTGGATTGTGATTCTTCTACAGGAGAAGTTTTTATGAATCCTTGTAGTCCTAATTCAGAATCACAAAAATGGGAATGGGGAAATTTATATGAAAATATATTGACTGAATGGGAATTAAAAAAAGAAAAAAAGGGGAAGAAAAATTAAATTTAAAAAATATGTTGTTTTTATTGTGAAATTACCTTCTTTAAAAAGCAATATTATTAGGGTTGCCGTTTTCGGTTCGAGCTGACGTTCGGTGCATTTTTCCGAGCCTGGTTTATTTTCGTTTCGTTTTCGAGCTTTTCGCGCTGAAAAGCCTCGGATCGCTCGATCTTTCGTGTTTCGGTTCGTGCGAGCTGGCAACCCTATTTATTATATCTAAACCTTTTCTCTCTTTATTCCTTCGCTTGTATAGCTCAATTTTAAGATTCTATAAATATTTATTATCAAAAAACTTTAATTGCTTAAATCTTTCCAAGCATTATATATACCTACCTATTTTCTTTTCACTTGCTGTATTAAATAATTATTTTATTTAAACCCTGTGATATTATTTAATTGCCAAAATATTGGGTACTTTCTCGTTATATGTACGACCGCAAACCGATTGCCAGACGAATTTGATCGGCTAACTTTTTTGTGCTTAATCCAATACTAATGAATTCTATATCATTCGAAAGCCCTCTAGCACCCAGTTTGCGGTCATATAACGGAAAAGTACCATATATTGACTTTTTAAGTAAGAATTTTGTTTATACATAAATATTTATGAAAATTGTATTGTATGAGATAAATCTTTTTTTTTTAAATTAAAAATTATTTTTCTTTCCTTTTTTCTTCAATAAAAATTGAAACATTATTAAAGAAATAACCCAAAATAAGTAAATGTCCCATTACCCATCCAGGATTTCCAATATAAATTTGTAAAGTAAAAATTTGTTTAAATCCTTCTATAAGCACTTTAAAGAAAATATAATTTCCAATTAATCCGTGTCCAAGAAAAAAGAAAATTCCAAATATTCCTAAAATTTTTATTAAAATTAATGGCTTTTACGGATAATTTTACATTTAAATAATTAAAATTCATCATATCTCCTAACCCTCCCCTTCCTATAACTGTAATTCAAAACGAGTAATTTTTGGGTGTGAGGACTGACCATTGGTTGGCGGATAGTTGGAAATCTTCGGATATCCGGCCTTTTTTGGATCCGAATCCGGCAACCTTATTGACCCGTAGTTTGTCTCCGTTTTATGGAAAATAAGGGAATGGGGGAGGGGACGTCTTTTCTTTCACCTAAAAATAGAAACAAAAATTCCTCCTCTTATTCAAAAAATTTAATAATTAACCAGGAATTAAAGTTGACAACATAAAAATAGCCTTTAATCTAATCCTTGCTGCTAATGACATTTTTAATAAAATATTTTTTTGAATAAATTTATTAAATAAAAATATATCAGAATTTGCCAAGCGTTCAATAAAAAGTCCAAAAGCACTTAGAGAAACCCACCAACAAAAATTAGAATTAAATCCATGCCAAATAAGAACAAAAATAAAAACAGATAAAGTAGCTAGTATTTTACGGAATATTGGAAAATTTAAATAAAAATTTAATTTTTGATATTTACAATTAAATTGGTAATTTATTAATTGAATATAAAGCTGAAAATAAATTAGGTAAAATAAAATTTTTAAATTTAAAAAATGTTGAGGGATCTTTTAAATTAAACAATATCTAATGAGAGTGCACTTTAAGTTTATACATAATAATGTATATTCCACCTTGGAGATTTTATATATTATATTCCACCTTGGAGAAAAAAATATTTCAATTAAAGTTATAAACATTATAGCCCCTCAGAAAGAATACACTAACAAAGGAGAGTGCCTGGGGTGTCCGCGGGACTTAGGGGATTTCACAACTAAGGTAGGCTATGATCTACCTGTCTACCATATTTCATGCCGAAGTTCCGCGGACACCCCAGGCACTCTCCTTTATAAAGCAATTATTTAGAGGAAATCCTGATACTTTTCTCCCTACCAAAGTTCTTTCACTAATTCCACACAATTTAGTGTACCTGATTTTTAAGAAATAAATAAAGTCCTCTATCAAAATATCTCCACATTTGAGAATATTTAGCAACATGTGAAATACAAATTGGTGAAGGATTTGGCTGCATTCCATCAATTTTAGCAAAAATACTTGGAATACCAAAAATCAAATAATATTTTAAATGAAATAATTGACCAGCTACATAGGCTATTGAAACTACTTAAATTAAATTAATATTTATTATTTTTTAAATTTTAAGGGTTTTCTAAAAAGGAGGCAGCGGTTTGGGGGAATGAAGAAGTAACACTCCTAATTAATTAATGAAAATTAAGGAGTGTTATTGTTGATGTGTTCCTTCATTTCCCACAACAAAAAATAAATTACTCGAATATCTATTAAAGAAAAACTTGATCAGATTTTCACTCAAGAAATATTTTTAAAATTAAAAATATTTATTTTATTTCCTATTTTTTAAAAGAACCAAAATTTTTTTTTATTAAATTCAAAGATGTCAATAAGCTTCCAATTTTTATTTTAAATAATTATTTAAAATTAGACTTTACATTCATAATTATTAAAATTTTGTAGCATAACAAAAGGAGAATTAAATAAAGCATTAACTCTACATAAATGTAATAATAATTCTAATAAACAAAAACAACAAAAAAGTTTTAAAATTGTTTTAAATAAAATTTTAAAATAATTTGTAGTAAATAATTGAGAATTAAATAAATAATTATTATTAAATTGTTTTTGAAAATCCTTTAAAATTAAAAAGAAAATATTTTTTGTTGAATTTAAGTTTTTAAAAATTTTATCAATCCAAATAATAAACGAGAATTCCAAAAAAACTTTTCTATATCCAAAACTTAATTTCAATCCGACCCCGTTTCCAAAAAATTCTTCAAGAATCCCTGCTATGAATTATGTCCCTAATATCAATCAAAAACTTTGTTGACCTTACCTTAACTCCCCGGCAGAGGTAGATTGGAAATAGCGCCGGTGCCGGAAATTGGAACTGTCGGAAATCGGAAATAGTTTGAAAGTCGGAACATGGGAATCGAAATCCCAATCGACCTCTAACTTTTCAGGTATCCAAAACTTCTTTTCTAACTTCCCCTTTAAATATTTAAATACCTCAAACAAAACAATTAAACTGATTGAATAAGGAGGATAAAATAAATAAAGTAATATATCACAGAATAAATTTAAATCAAAATTCTTTTTATATTTGCTCAAATAAATTGATAAATTAATTAACTAGAAATTAAAAAATAAATTAAAATTATTTAACGGAATTTGTTAAAGGAAAATTTTTTCACAAAAATCGAAAATTTTCAGGCAATTTCAGGCAAGGATTGCCTAAAGAATTATCCTCAATTTTTCAGCCTTTTTCTTCCCTCTTTAAAAAAATAATAATTTTTACTTTAATAGAAGAATATAAATACAAATTAAATTCTAAATAATATTTTGAAGGTTCTTTATTAGAAAAAGAAATAAAATTAATAAATTTTAAAATAAATATTAAATTAGATATCCATCCAAATAATTGGTTTTTGGTTAATAAAGAAATTAAAATTATAAATAAAGAAAATGTTGAGATTACAAAAATACATTTTAAACTAAAAAAGAAATTAGAATATTTTAAAAGAATTTTTCTTTCTTTTTTATAAAATACCCCTCTAATATTATCAGAGATGAGTTGAAGCAGCTGAAGATAGTTCGAAAGGAACTCGAAATTCCATCCGACTAATTCCCAATTGTTATTACTTGTAGTATTTAGTAGTGATAGGAATTTTGTACCGTACTACCGGTACGGAATACCGATGAATACAGAAAAACACGGCCGTATTAGTTTTATTGTTAGTTTTCTACTCTAATGTATCTTTCCTTTATTATTTTGATTTTCTCTAGCTAGGGTGGACTGAAAGTTCGAGATCTCATCTCGGTCCGGTTTCTATGTCTAACTCATTTTTTGTACCTTTACAATTTTTAACAATTCTTCTCTTATACAAACATATTTTAATTAGGATCGCTGGTAGGACTAATCAAATTTTATCGGCAAAAAAAACTCGAAGAATCACTAACCCCCCCCCCCCCCGATCGACTACTTTGTCTATTATTTAATTTCCGTTATATTTTCTCTAAATCTATATTTTTTCAATTAACTTTAATTTTAAATGTTTTTTTCAATTAAAAAATAATCATTACCTAGTCCAATTAACATGTAAAACAATCCAAAAAGGTATTAAAATAAATAATGTTTTTATTTCTTTATTTAATTTAATTCTTTTAAAAATAATTAACAAAACTTTTTTTAAAAAAATTTTATTTTATTTTTAAAAAATATATTTATTAATTACTTGAATTTAAAGTATAAGTAGTCAAAATTAAATTAAAAGCAATTTTATATAATTTCCATTCAACATCAGAATTATCAATAAAATAATTGGAAATATAACTATTTAAATATTTTTATTTTAATATTTTTTGTTTAATAAATAATTCCCCTCAATTTCTCATTAAATAAAGAATTAATTTAAATAATTTTTTAAAAAGTAAGTCTTGAAGGATTATTTTGAAATAAATTCTCTTTTCCAGAAATTTTATTCCTCTAACATTATTTGAGTATTCCGGATTTTTTAAATTATTTAAAGGTAGCTGGAGGAAAATAAATTTTAAATTGAAAATGGAGAATATTTTAGCTGGATTAAATGATGGGTGTAAGTTAGGGAAACCCCTTTACCACCTTTAAGGGGGCATTTGCCCACTTAATGACTTTTTCGCCTTTTCCCCCCTTTTCTTCAATGCCACATTTTTGCCCCTTTTTGTGAAGCCGTGCCCCCTTTCGGTGGTTTGGAAAGGGTAATCTTGGTGTAAGTAAATTGTCAAAATGAGTGAAGAAAAAAAGAGCGTAGGTAATTATTGTTAATTAAAGAATTTAAACTTAAAAGAACAAAAAACAAACTTGCTAGGTTCTAACCAATGATTTAACCAATTCCCGATTTTTCTAGGGTTTGAAGAAACAAATATAGAAATTACAAAAGCTATTAAAGAATGTAAAATCCAAATAAAAAAATAAAAATTAATTTCTAATTTATTTAGAGGATATTTATTGTTGGAAAATATTTTCATTTTAAATTGATTTTATTTTTATTTTATTTGCAAAATTATTTGCACATAAATATCTCGCAAAGAGAGAATTATTATTAGAAAATATCTTTTTAATCCTACATAATTTTTTTAAAAAAAGCGCAGAGCATTTTGAAGTCCGAAAAAAATAAATTAAATAAACTAAACAATTTAAATTTATTTTATTATTTAGATGATTTTTCTTTCAAATTATTTTTAAAAATATAATTAAACAGAATAAAATCTAAATGGACAATAAAATCTAATTAAACAGAATAAAATCTAAATAAAATCTAAAG